AGGCCTTGCTCCCCAATTCCGAGGCTGCAGACTCTGCCACTGAGCTCAGACCTTGCAGCAATGCGTCCAGCGCATGGCCGTCCTGCAAAGAACAACACGGGGCTCAGAGAACTTCAGGAGGAAGTTTATGGAGTGGAAGACGTTCACCTTCACAGCAAGCGATGAGCTTGGCCTCCTCGGCCCCTGGGCCCAGGTCCTCACTGGCCTGACCAGCTGGGCACCCAACTTGCCGGTGCAGAACTCCAGGCTGCCAACGATGCTCCCTTCTGCCTCAGAAATTCATGGAAGTTCGCTCTCGTGGGTGCATCCAGCATACTTCCAAACTTACATCTCGCCCAGTCTAGTCCGTTACCTGGATCACCGAGCAGCGTGAGTGCAGGTGTTGCTGGTAGTCGTCCGCCCCGGCACGGACGCCGTGCATGCCGTGGTCGGCTGCTGCGCCGCTCGACATGGGGGTGATAGGGTTTTGGTGCTACCGCAGCTACAATCTTGGGGCTTGTCCGGAAAGAGCTGCTAAGTCTGCTAAGTGTGCTGCAGATGCGAGGTCTTCGCCATGTCTTTCTTCTCGCAGTTGACGGGCGCCCTGACTATGTGCAGCAGCCCGGACGTGCGGCCGGCGCGCACGGCCGCAGATCCGCCCCTGGGGTCTTGCTTTGAAACAGAGCCAGTTTTCGGGTGACAGCCGCACCACTGCCTGTTGAGGGGCGCCCGCTTGCCAACCGCACCAACTCAGTGATTTGCAAGGAGCTGGTGGCGCAGGGCCAAGCCCCGCACACGGCGATCGTTGGCTGCGCGGACTCTCGCGCCCCCCTGGAGACTATCTTCGACACCATGCCAGGCGCATGACTCACACATCTTGCTGTGCAGCGCAAGAGTCAGCGTGTCAGCATGGGCGTCCTGTGCGAACATGTGCGAACTAAGACTAGAAGTTCTGAATTTGATCGCTCCCAGTAGCTGGCATCTTGCATGACTCCCACCTTGAAACGGCACGCGACTCTGCCTTGCGCGCGTGCACGAGGTGACATCTTCGTGCTGCGCAACGCTGGCAACACCTGCACGCACGCAGCTTTGACATGATTTTGGGCCGGTTGCTGTTGACGGTGTGTCAGTTTGCAGAAGTACCACTATGAAACATTGCAAACAGCTGAGGCAGAGGGCAGCATCGTTGGCAGCTTGGAGTTCTGCGCGGGCAATTTGGGCAGCCGCTTGGTGCTGGTCCTCGGCCACACAAAGACGTTTCTGGATGCCCAAGGTCCCCCCCAACACAGCTGGCTCTGCGCTGCAAGGGCTTCTGCAGGACCTGGGCGTGGCTGCGCATCAGGCCCAGGAGGAAATGGGTCCTGGCGCGGACTCCGATGCCATCGCGGCCCACGCGGTCAAGGTGAACGTCTTCCACACCATGAACTTTCTGCTGAGCTACAGTGAGTCCATCCGTCAGGCTGTGAGAAGCGGTCAGATTGAGATCCACGGTGGCATCTAGCCGAGGAGGCCAAGCTCATCGCTCACGCTGTGAAGGTGAACGTCTTCCACTCCATGAACTTCCTCCTGAAGTTCTCTGAGCCCCTGCGCGACCTGGTGCGCAAAGGGAACCTGCAGATCCAGGGCGGCATCTATCACCTGGAGACGGGCCGCGTGGAGTTCTTGGGCCGCTCACCTCAGCAAGCTGAGCTGCTGTCCTCCAAGCGCTCCGTGCCGCCGTCCATCCAGTGCGGCACGGGTCCGCACTGCCCAGAGCAAGCCAGTGATGCCGCAGGATGCCCTGGCCATGCTGAAGGATGGCAATGAGCGCTTCACAGTGGTGCCCCCACAGCTGGCAAGGTCCACCAGAGCATGCGTGCGGATTTGTACAACATGGGCCAAAGCTCCCCACACTGGTTGGCTGTGCTGATTCGCGCGTGCCCCTGGAAACCGTCTTTGACGCCCTTCCTGGGGACCTCTTTGTCCTGCGCAACGCTGGCAACACCTGCACACATGCCGAGGGCAGCGTGCTTGGCAGCCTGGAGTTCTGCACCGGTGCGCTGATCTTCGTGCTGGGGCACACGGCCTGCGGTGCCATCAAGGGCGCCACCAAAGCCTTTTCCTCGAGTCCAAGAAGTCCGGTGAGGCCAAGAAGGACGGTTGCAATAGCCGCACTGCGCACGGCAAAGCTCTTGAGAATGTGAAAGCTTGCTGTTGCGTCGGGGTTTCATCCTTGTGGTCCTTGTGTTGTTCTTTGCAGGACGGCCATGCGCTGGACGCATTGCTGCAAGGTCTGAGCTCAGTGGCAGAGTCTGCGGCCTCGGAATTGGGGAGCAAGGCCT